CCCCCCATTCTTCCCCATTCTTTTCAGTGCCTCCTGGCTGCATGTGTGGATCTCCTGGTGTAGTTGCGGCCCTCCCCCAGCATTTTGCCTGCTTAGAAAAAGGGGTAGATAGTATCACTTCAAACCCGTTCCTAGCCTGTGGTGTTCTGGTTTCCAAATATGTTGTTCCAGTGTCATTATGATTGTTTGGACTGTAGCTTTGCCAAGAAGCAGCAATGAAGTGTACCTGATTCTTTTCCATTTAGCTGCTGTTCACAGGATGGAAAGCTTGACAAAGCTACGAACAGCAGCAGAGCAATGTCTATCAGTTTGAGAAGATGGTTCTGTATCAGTTCGCACTGGCTTCATTTTAAAAAGAATGTTTTTAACTGCAAACATATAGTGGCTAGAATCTGCACGAGAGGATGGTACTTATCTGTGAAAGTTTCCTACTTGCCACACGAGAATAGTGTTCATGACTTCTGTGATTGTTAAACCTGTAGTTTGCACCATTGTGTGTCTTCTCTGTGTTTGTGTTGCTTGGTAATGGCTGAATTGCAAACAGTTGAGCCGGTCTGATTTTGTGCATTAAAGTGCAATTGCACGCACACACATTTTAAAAAATAGCCTAGTGATATGTTACATAGAGAGATTATCTGCTGGTTTCGTTACTGCCAGATGGGTTATAATGCAAAGTTGGGAGGCACTGTTAATACAGAGAAGGATCAGAGGAAGAACTAGGTGACCCTGTGTGATGTTATCTGACAGAAAACCATATAGAGCATTGTTGCAACCCCTGTTCTACAGTTGACAAGGCTTAAAGGCGTAGTTGTGCAAAAACAATGAGGAGTCCCTTGGCACTTTAAAAACTACCAGATTCATTTACCTATGTATCTGTTGAAGTGGTTTTTACCCACCTACCCAAACAAATGTCAGTTTTTAAGGTGCCACAGGACTCCTTGTTGGTTTTGTTCTGTATTTGCAGCAAATCTTATTCAAATGTTGAGTAAGATGTCTATGAAAAGGTCATGATTTGCTGGTTAAGATTATGAGTATTAACTGTATATTTGATATCAAATAATTGATCCTGGGGTAAGGCCCACAAAGTATTTAGCCAGCATGTCTTGGAGGGACTATTCAAATGGAATGGCTCATCAAAAGAACCCTTATCTGAGAATGAAGCATGGGAGACACTCAACTACACTGTATGGACTTGGCTGCGAATATTCAGACTAGCATGTGGGCAATGGCTTCCACCTGCAAAGAACTGAGTCCTGCATGGACAGACGATTTGCCCATGTGACGACTCATGTGACAAACTCCATCTTGTTACTGTACTTTTCCACAGTAAGAACAATGAGAGTCCACATGGAAGAAGATATAAAAGGTCCTGGGAACACCTCCATCTTACCTCTTTCCTGCTCCAGCCTCTCTACAGCTCAAGCCTCTGGACTATGGACTTATACCAATGGAATCATTCTAACCAAGGGACTGAGGTCCTTCCAATGATTTGGAAGTAACCAGAGCCTTATCTTGAGCCAGCAGTTTATTCCATCGCTGATACAAGCCTGAACCAAGGACTTTGCAGTTGTTGTATGTATTTGGTTTCTTTGATCACTTTTAATTCACCTCTTTCTTTCTTTTATGAATAAAACTTTAGATTTTAGACACTAAAGAATTGGCAACAGCGTGATCTTTGGGTAAGGTCTGGGTTATAATATTGTCCTGGGCATGTGGCTGGTCCTTTGGGATCAGAAGAATATTTTATTTGATGAGACTGGTTGTCATAACTACCACATCCCTATAAGCAGTGCTCCTGGTGGTGGGATAAAGGAACTGGAGTATCTGAGGGAATTTCTTGTATGACTTCCTTGTTAGCCAGTATGGCAAATAGGGATGTTAAATATCAGTTAGTTGAATAGATGAGTGAATGAATTCTTATCAGTTCATTGACTATTCTGTAGTCCCGGGGGTGAGGCTGGCGACCAGTGCACTCTGGCCCCACTCCCGAGGAGTCCCCTCCCTCTCTGCATGGGATGCCAGGCGGGAGCTGGTCTGTGAGGAGAGCCAGTTTAAAAACCAGCTCCCCTCATGGACTGGCTGCCTGTCAACCTGATACAGAGGCAGCAGCGCAGGGTGGCAGCAGCCCCTGTTGGGGTGGGAGGGAAGAGGGAAATGTGTGTAGTCTATAGGTTAATATTATAAGCTATTGCTTCTCAGACAATTGTTTAATTGACTATACTATTACATGCCTAGTGGCAAAATAGAAGTTTTTTTAGATGGGTTTGGTGTGCTTTGTAAGGGGAGGACTATCAGTCTTGGGCTGTGTCTGCCCTGTTTCTCAGTAGTCTGCCCTGAATTAGATACACACAGTAGCGTCCCACCAAAGCACACCTATTTACACTCTGAAGATTATAGTAATAGAAACTGGATGAAATTCAGTACTATGAAGTGCAGGGTCAGGCACTTAAGGTCTAATAATAATATTTTTTGCTATAAGGTGGAGGTCCATGAGTTGGAATTGACAGAAGGAGAGACCAGGGTGTGCAGGTTGAGTATAGGATGTCCATAAATCACAAGTGTGATGCAAAAAAGAAAATGCAAATGTGATCCTAGGATGCATCAGGCAAGGCATTTCTGATTGAACTAGACAAATATTAAAAACATTGTGTAAGGCTCAGATAAGGCCTCATTTGGAATGTTGTGTACAGGTTCTGGTCACCGTTACTTCAAAAAGATGAATTCATACTGGAACCTGGTGCAAAGAAGAGCTAGTAGGATGATCAGGGAATGGAGGGCCTATATTATGAGAGGAGACTAAGAGTTTGGCTTGCTTAGCTTACAAAAACAAAGGCTGGCTGGGAATACAATTGCTCTTTGTACAATACATGGTGGGGATGAAGTAAACACCAGGTAGGGTGAAGAGCAATGTAACCTAAAAGACAGCTTTGATACAAGAACATATGGGTATAAACTGGCCATGAGTAAATTTAAGTGAGAAATTAAAATAGCATCAGAAGAGTGAGTTTCTGGAACAGTCTCCAAGTAGGAACTGTAGAGTCAAACAACATACAGGCAGTCCCCGAGTTACGCGGATCCGACTTATGTCGGATCCGTAGTTACGAACGGGGATTTCTCGCCCCGGAGAACTAGAGCAGCGGGACGCCTGGTCCCGCCGCCCGCCTTCTCCGGGGCGAGAAAAGCTGCTCCCCGTCTCCCTGGTCTGCTGGCTCCTCCGGGTGACCAAGGAGATGGGAGCAAAGCGGCAGAGCACCGGGGGCCGGACCCGCGGCCGCTTCCAGATCAGCTGGAAGCGGCGCGGGTCCGGCCGGGTGCTCCGCCGCTCTGTTCAGCGTCTCCCTGGTCTGCAGCTGATCTGGAAGCGGGCGCGGGGCTGGGCC